AAGACGACCCGACTGGGCCGAAGTTCCCCGTGCCTTCAGAATTCGCCAAAGGTTGGGGCCAGCAGATGGCACAGCAGGTTATGTCACTGGGCTCCCACGTGGCCCACTGCAGTTGGCGGCCAGGACCCGAAGGCTAGACGCTCATCCCAGGCACGCGTGCCCAGGATCCCAGGAGAATGGAGGAGAAGGGACTGCGGCACGGCCATCCTCCCTTGGGGGGTGATGCCTCACTCTCCCTCTTGCTGTCTCTGTCTCCTTCTTTCTCTGGTGGGCACGTGCACCCTCAGGCAAAAACTTGTACCAAATAAAAAGGACTCACCCAATGTGCTGTGGCAGGTGCCTTCTTCTCAGGACCCCGTTACCTAAACTACAAACTCTTTAAGATTGAGGTAGAACCATTCAGAAGGCTTCTCGTATGGACACACTCCCAAGGACTCCAGTTCTACGAGGCCACGGGAAGTCCTGCATAGCTTTCTGTTTTCCTACAAAGACACGCCATGACTTCCCCAGGACCCGATTGAAGGCTGTAACTTGCCAGTGAGAACGTCCCTTCCAAAGGGGAAAAGGCGGATTGTGGACGGTGCTTCTCGGGAAGGGCAACGCCACACTGAGCAGACGAGAGCTGTGTGAACACGCCACACCGCGTTCGCCACAACACAGCACACGCGTCCAGAACAGTGACACGAGATGCCCCCAGAAGCACCCCGGCTGGCAGGGAAGCTGCCCTGCCTTCGCCACAGCAGCTCCACAGTCCTGGCACCCCGGCAGGCCCGCAGTAGGCAGGCTCCTCTGCCTGCACTGGAATAACAGGGGCCTGGGATGCCCATCCTGAGCCCAAGTGACAACGGCCGCCCTGCTCCTGCTGCCTGAGGGAAAGCCATCACGCAGAGGCAGGACACCAACCTCGGTGCTGCTAGGGGCGGGCTAGAGCGAGGAGGCAGAGGCACGGCTTGGGGTGAGGAGAGGCCGCCTTCTGGCTGAAGGGTTTTTGATCTCAGACACAGCAGAAACAGCTGTTAGGTATTAAAAACCAAAGATTGTAACTCAGTTCGGTCAGACCCTAAAAAAAAAAAAGTGTGACATCGCCTTGTGGTTAAAAGTGAAAAGCTTCTGGAATTGTGCAGACTGCAGAGTATCTCAGAATGTGTGGCTACCAGGAGCAGGTTCCAACAGGTGACGGGGTGTCAAGCTAAGGCTCAGACAACGGGCCAGGCTGCTGTTTACCAGGGCCTCTTCCTCCCTGCACCCACCCACCCACCCGCAGCTCACGCTGTTCCGAAACAATGAATAACTGCTGGGTCCCGGCCTCAAAACTACTGAGTGCCCGACCGTAAACCCTGTCCCTGCGCTGACAGATCTTCCCAGCCACGGTGCGCGGGGGCACTAGGGCTGGCTGGACGAGGAAGCTCAATTTTCAGTATTCTTAGGGATTACTTATAAATAATCATTTTTATTGCACTGGTCTTTTAAAAATCATTGCTTTGACAGAGGAAGTCTTTGAGCTAAGAAATAAACTCCAAATATACATGAACTGTGTGCCCAGCTGACAAGCATGAGGCTGTTTTAGTGACTATTTTTCTGCTGATACCAAAATTAAGATTTAGAAAGATTTGTTTTCCATGTTCTGAAAAACCTTTCAACAGAAATCTTCAAATATTTATTATCTACAATATCTTCTCTTTCATCTTTCCCTTCTCCCCCTGAAGAAAACAACCAAAAGAAAACTGCCCAACTAAAAGATCTGACAAATTAGCATATTATGGTCAACAAAAATAAAGCCTCCCACAAATTTCAAAACTCCGAAGCTTTTATTTGGGGTGGTCTCTAAATACCGCTTTTATGAAACCACCTTCCCTTCAGATAAGACAGCCATATGGCCCACACAGACATGTCATCATCAAACATATGAAAAGCCTTTTAAAAGTAAAGACGAAGTCGCTATTTCCTATAGCAACCATTGCAAGATCCCCAAAGAGCAGATCCTGAAGGTCTCCATTTTAGTGCCTATGTGAAAAGTAGAAAAACCCATTGCCCCACCCAAGAGCTCAAATTTCCTTTTGAAACTTTTGGCGTGGTAATGGCAGCCAGTTGTGAAGCTCAGTGCCCACACAGAGCCACCATATTTCATGCAGCCCTCTTCTCAGAAACTCAAGGCTACGGCTAATCGCCACGACCACCCCACCCCGCCAGGCTGGTGCTGAGAACTGCTGGCTGACAGCCACTGTCCCCCCGATCCGCCCTG